CTGCCCACTATAAGTGGTCGTATCAGGTCACAGCAAGGGTGTTGACTGGTGGCTCTAGGTGTGCTCATATTGAGATGCTTGCCGGTTACCCTCGTTCTACCACGGAAGCGCCTTCGGGATTTATCAAAAGGTTAGTCACTGCTGAACTACTCGATTTGAGTGGTGTCATTTGCAGATTCTCGCAGGGAAGGTCGACTTTCCTCGATATTTCGATGTTAACAGTAAGGACCTCATCAAGCGGCTGCTCACACAAGACCTTTCCAAGCGGTATGGTTGTCTCAAGAACGGTGCCGAGGATATCAAAAAGCACAAATGGTAGGAATCTTCCCGTTGGATGTCTCCTGCAGCTCATACTAGGTTTAAAGATGTCGATTGGGCCAAAGTATTCACACGAGAGTTACCACCCCCTTATGTACCGAAAGTGAGAGGGAAGGATGATACATCTATGTTCGACAAGTGAGCTACGTTGTTTGTGTGATTTGACGGACGTGCGGTATGCCGATAGATACCCTGAGTCAGCAGAAGGATCAACACCAAGCATCAGTGATAGAGACCAAGTGCTATTCGAACTATTCTGAGAACATTGTTGATGATGGTACAGTTGCAATGGATATGAGCTGTACATATCGTCTTCTCATGCTATCTTGATATGGAAGATACTCATCGGTGTTCGATACACATTATGGCTTGAATTGCAGTATAGTGCGCGGGGTTGGTTCAAGGGAACACTTACGATCCCTGGAGATACTCGTATCCTTGCAACTTAGTATTATCTATAACTAGGCCTTCGTGACGAAGGGGCGGGGTTCACTTAGTCCACGTCTATTGATTAGATCAATGAATTTGACCTAGGTCCCCGGTTCGATTCCCGGGTAGAACATGTTTCCGTCATTGAAGTTTTTCGTGCATGTCTTTCCGAGCTGTTCGTATAACCGAGTTTTCTGATTTTTGCATACACAGCATTTATTAATTATAGTAACACTACTGCGAGAACAACTTGAAACGTCTGAAAATCACGGTTAGAGCAAGTTGACAGTATTGCTGTTTGCAGCGATTTGCGAATCATTCTGCAGCGTCCCGATCATCCCCAATCTGACAGCAATCAACTATCGCGACTCACAGATTAATTTCCGAGAGGAGAAGAACAAATCAGAGCATGTGTTTCATTCTTTGCAAACTCCGAACGCCTCTCTGTTGCTTACTTCCTCGCTACGGCTACTGTGCTTGTCGGTCCTCGAGTCGGCCTCCTCCAATTCAACGATGTTGTAAGTACCGTTCTTCCCCAGCCACGAAGATTGTATCCTTCGCCACAGACTATCATGACAAGGGTCTGAGGGCTCCTCGACCAACAGCGAATCAGTCTGTCGAGCATTTGGTATCAAGAGCCGTACCAAAACCAACGGCACCAGTGGTGCGATACACGACAACAGACTGGCCTCCCAAAGGCGAGAAAATTTAGAACCCTCGTTCGGAGACCCATCAGCGTGACCCCGAGATGATCGAGAATCA